ATACTAGGCATCAGACGATTACAAAATCCATCAACTCATTCTGAGCCAGTCCTATTCTGATCACAAATTTTCGGTCGCCGGGCGCGCATCTCCAGTGGATCGATGATTGGCATGCTGGTCTCGCCCGGGTTCGAATCTCGACGACGGCCGCTGTTAAGTGAGTGGCTTCATGGCCTATTGGTGTGGCGTGATGATGCCAACTCGCTAAGCGGGATGAATTCTAGTTGGGGATTTTCTTACCGGACAGCAGCGCAGTTTTTATGCCGGAGGGAGAACTAAAGATAAAGATGACACCGTCCCTCCAGGGGGAGGGAGTCCACACCCTACAGAAGTATTGGGGATCCTGTGAAGGTTCACCGTAAATCTAAATGAGGCCAGCAACTGGTGTAAACATGAATTGAAAGTGTGTAATTCGTAAACATCATGTGTGATTTAATGTATAACATGTGTAAACATTAGTGAAAGCTTAGGTGCGCACGACCCTTCCGGGCATTGCTTAAAGATCATTCCGTCCCAGCCCGAGGTGTCTACCAGCTGCCATTCTGGCGACATGGAGGCGGGTTCGCCTGATGGGCTCGTCTGGAGGCCCTGACAGGTGTACGTCCTACATTGGTGCCCTCCCTGGAGCGGAAGGCCTTTTGGCGGCTCATCTGACCGGGGCATTTGACCCGGAATAGGCGCAAGATCCCTCATTGGGGCAACAAGATCTCTGATAACCGCAGGTGATCCAATAACTGGCACAGAGACCCATGTTTGGCCAACGGACCCTTGGCTAAAACGGGGTGAAGGGCCCCGCAAGGGCCCCGGCTCACCTCTGGCCGACTCGGGACTCCTTCCGTCACAGGACCCCCTGTTGGACACTCTGGGGGCCTGACCGTCAAAAGACCACTAATTGTTGTAGGGACTCCAACCAATGCAAATCACTGGCCTTGGTCTCGTTCCTGCTAGAGAAATGGGGGCCCCAGGCCTCAGAACAACGCAGAGTCAACTATTCGGTATAGTGGTCTCCGGCGGAAATAGGTGCTCGCACTGTCCCAGGGGTTCACAATCGGCGAAAGAGGCATATTGGCTGATATTTGGGACCACAGCCATACGGGCCAGGATGACCTGTAGCCTTTCGACCCTTACGGCCATTTAGCCTTCCCATCGGCCCGTTTATTGTCAGTCTTGAAGGGTACATCGGTCCCTTTTCAGGCACCCTCGTACACTCCCTGACCAACTCGGGGGCCCTTGTCAACACTGGACCTCCCGTTAGGCGCTGTGTGCCCCTGGCCGACACAAGGGCCCCTCACTGGCGCGGGGTGCACCGACCAATGTAAATCGCGGATCCTGACCTTGTTGCTTGACCTGCTTGGGAAATTGGCCCCCAGGCCCAGACCGGGGCCCAGTGGGTGCAACTGGCCCTCTGGCTGGTATTTGGGGGTCCGACCCGCGCCCCCTTCAGTGACCTTTAGCCAGCCCTTCGGGTCCCCTATCGGATTTACGATGCTCCCATTTCAGATTTCGTCCTGGCCACCTGAATGATACCTCAGGCTTAGGGTCAATCGCTTTCTCCCCACGGCAGTCCGACACCAAGGGCAAGCCGAGTTCGGGGAGGGGCAAAAACGTGGAAAATAACAAAAGTATCCCCCCAAAACGTACGGTAACAAGCATGGGCGGATCCAGAGAGGGGGGCCACAGGGCATGCTTCACCCTCGGGCCCCGAAGGGGCCCATTGGCTCCGAGGGGCCCAGAGCCGGCCGAACAGATAGTTTTTTTAGTACAAGATGTAACAAAACTGGGTGTCTATGGACATTCAAACCACCAAGAACAGCCGTAAACGAAAGTGAAAGGCATATGAGAAGTCCCAAAATTACTCAATGATTGGAGAAGTTGTGAGCTGGAAATTGTAAGTCCCATTACACCGTCTATGTCCCCATGCTGTTTCCGGGGACCTTTCTGCTCCCTACAAGCTCATTTTGGTCCTTTAGGAGCATTCCACGCGGTCCTTCATTTCTTTGCATTTGCCCAGAGGGCCCTACGCTGTTGTTGGGGCCCGTCCGGTTAGTGTGCCGGGGAACTCTTGTCAATCACGGGCCCTTCCATGGGTGATTTCTATTCGCCTTCGCCGCATGGGGTTTTAGGTACTTCTTATTTGAATAGAGGGCCTTAAGCTCCCGTCGCGGCCCCCATCTGATAAGATGCTCGGGCCCATTCGGTCGTGGGGGACCTCTACGTCTGGTTTTGGGTACTTTCTTTTCTAATGGAGTGCCCTCCGCTCTTTTCGGGGTCCCTGTCTGTTAACCTGCTCTGGTGCACTCAGTTATTCGGGGCCTTCTACATCATGCCGTGGGTAATGCATATTTGAACGGAAGGCCCTACGCTCTTGCCGGCGCCCCATCTATTAACCTGCTCCGACGCACTCGAATATCCGGGGGCTCTCCACATTGTGTCTTGGGTACTTCCTATCTGAATGGAGGGACCTACGCACTTGTCGGTAACCCCATCTGTTCGCCGCTTCGGCCACATTGGATTGTTCGGGAGCACTTTATACTGGGTCTTGACGCTTGAATTTAGGGCCCTACACTCCTGACTGGATGACCTGATAATCTGCTCGGGTATACTCCATCTTTCGGGGGCCCTCCGCACTGGGTTTTGAGTACTTCTTCTTTGAATGAAGGGTCCTGCGCTCTTGTTGGGCTCCTTCTGATACACTGCTCGGGCACATTACATCATTCTGGCCCCATTTACTTAAGATCTTCAGTGCTTTCCATTCGAATGGAGACTCTTACGCTCTTGTTGGGAGCTCTATTTGTTAACCTGCTCGGGCACAATCGATCATTCGGGGGACCTCTACATTGGGTCTTGGATGTTTTCAATTTGAATGGAGGGCCCTACGCTTTTGACCGGGCTCTGTATGTTTGCATGGTCTGATACACTGCTGATCATTGGAGGGTCCTCTTGAATGGAGGATCCTACGCTCTTTTTGAGAGCATTATCTGTTAACCTGCCCGGGCACACTCGATCATTCGGGGGCCCTCTACATTGGGTCTTGAATGCTTCCCATTTGAATGGAGGGCCCCAAGGTCTTGACGGGGGCCCTACATGTTAACCTGTTCTGGCGCACTCGATCGTTCAGAGCCCTACACATTGTGTCGTGAGTATTTCTTATTTGAATGGACGGCCCTATGTTCTTTGCGGGCCCCATTTATTCAGCCGCCGCGGCCGGTGGTGGATGCAGAGGGTGGGGGGGGGGGGGGGACACAGGACCATGTCCCACGGAACATGCCGAGGGAACCCAAAGGCTCCGAAGGGGCCCGTAACCGGCCGGACGGACGCAGTTTCCTTACAACAAAGGCACAACAAAATTGGATGCGTTTGGGCCTACAGATGACCAACAACCATTGCTAGCAAAAGTAAAGAGTTCATAAGTAAACGAAGTTCATTCTTCGCTGATTTAGTGTCGCTTGGGGTGAATTTTAAGGCTCATTACGCTGACTAGAGGCATTACGCTGTTGTCTGCCTGTCCCTATATGTCCACATGCTGCGTCAATCTGATCGCTAAAGAGCTTTCCACGTTACCCTTGATCTCTTCACATTTTTTCGTAGGGCCCAATGTGCTGTTGGGACGCTACCTGCCTCCATGCTTCAGCACAGTTGATCAATCATGTTTTCCTCCACGGATTCTTCCCACCCGCCCGAAAGGCTACATACACTTTTTCCGGGGCCGCATATGCCAGAGTGCACTCAGCTGCTCAGGATCCCTTCATATAAATATCAGGTACTTTATACTTACTTGAAAGGCTTGTGCCGTTGCTAGGGGCCTTATAAGGCAAGGCAAGGAGACGTTCGATGCTCAGGGGCCCTCTGTTTTGGTCGAGGGCTCTCCTCCTTTGGTCTCATTTGCGGCTGACTTTTCACTCCTATCGAGACTCGTGTTGTTAGCCTGCCCGTGCACTCTTCATTGCACAGGGGTATTTATTTATAGTATTGGATAATTCCCCCTTGCTCAGAGGGTCCTGTGCTATGATCGGGGCTTCATAGGTCCGCCTGTCAAGGCACTACCGATCGTTTAGGAGCCCACCGCGTGCGCCCACCACGTTGGCCCACCACGTGAGTTCTTTTTGCTTGCTCTGAGGACCCTATACTTGTTGACGGGAGCCGCTGTGTTGGCCTCCTGCGGCACCTATGACCGCTCAGGTTCCGTCCCTATTGGCCTTGGTGCCTTCGCCTTTGAGTAGCAGTCGAATATGCGCCGATGAATTTTTACGCGCAATTGGCGAACGTAATTATACATGCCTCCTCCGTCGTATCCGTCATTTCCACTGGCTATTCAGTGTGTCGCACTCATTTAGATTTGCGGTCAACCTTCACGGGATCCTAAATATGTCTGTAGAGTGTGAACTCCCTCCCCCTAGCATTAGAAACTACGGTGCTGTTCGATATGAAAAGTGCTAGTAATAATTCATTTCGCTTAGAAGTGAAGCGAGTTGGCATCACCCCGCCGCGCCGATAGACCATGAAGCCACCCACTTAACGGCGGCCGCCGTCGAGATTCGAACCCGAAGCTTACCGCCTCCGAGACCAGCACGCTAACCATGCATCCACTGGAATTGCGGGCCCGGCGGCCGAAAATTCGTAATTAAAATAGAAATGGTTCTGAGTGAGTTGATCGATTTCGTGGTCGTTTGACGTCTATCACGCACGGAACCGATCTTTCGCACGGCGTTCTGCATTTTTGCACTTTTTTCCCTCGAAGGCTGCCAATCCGCGTATGCTTGACATGTACAACCATCTGAAATATTTTTGGAGGGTGTATAAGCCCAGTGCGTAATCACTCTCTGTTTTGGACGGTGTATAAGCCCGGTGCGTAACCACCCTCCGTTTTGGAGGGTGGATACGCACTGCCTAAAATTAATCCAAGATTTTCTTGTGCCTGAAAGTGAATAGATGCTACCAAATCTATTTTTGCTTAGATGTCGCCTTGAATCAAGCCAGCCTTGGATTCCTGCCGCGTTGGACAATGGCGTCAGGGGATGGCTGCGCCTCGTCTCATTAAAGGGTGGTCTGCAAGTGCAGTGGTCATGACGTGAATAATGCGTTATGAGAGGGGTGTTTGCTGTTTTCGAATGTACCGGAGAATTTGTACATAAGTTGTGTGAACTGACAATTTCTTTTGTGAAAGCGGAGGAGACTTCCGGGCCAGAAGTTTCCTTTTGTGTGGCGTTTATGGCACTATGAACCTGGACTCGTTGTCTTTTGCTCTCATCCACATAAATAATCTAGTGGGTAATCTCACAAAGAAAAACTTCAAGGCATCTTGTCAAGAAATAACGCAGGTAAGAGTATGTTATTGTTTCTAGGGGCTGCCAAACTGCTATCTTGAAATGAAGTGGGATTGTGTGTCATGTCTTGCTCAAAATATGAAATTCCAGCTGCTGGAAAGGTGTGCAGTGCCCATATTAGAACTAAAGCATCATTTTCTATGTTAAATTGGAGCATAATGGTATCAATGAGATGCAGTTTGATTTAACTTGGGCATATCACTAGTCTCCAATATTGTTCTCTATTGTAATTTTTGTGCTTAATGAGCAGTTTCATTACATTTTGTGCCATTCTCCAAAGTCTCACTTAGTTACAAACTAAAGGCTTCAAAAATAATACTATCAATTAGTTTTGTTGCCAGAGTTTTTCCCTATATTTCTGTTTCCATGAACAGAACGCATGTGTATGGCGTAATCATGAATCATATACCTTACCTTTTCTTCCCTCAGTGATCAGAAATTTTGAAGGCAACTTGGCCTTTTGACCATGGTCTCTTTAAGCTACCATTCAGGTAACTGAAGAGTCTCAAATCAGAATGTGAATGGTGTTGGATGTCATATATGATATCAGTGTGGTGTAGGTCGAGCTTAGATTTAGATAACATGATGCAACTATATGATCTAGGGTATATTATAGCTTATAGCTTTACACTGATCTTTGAACTTGGCTCATAATTATTTTAGACTGTATGTGACTAAGCCAGATGTCACTGAAATATGATTCATACAAGGTTGATTACAAGTAATTTACTGTGATATAGCATATTATTATTCAGAGTGATATCTGATGTACTTCAAACCAAGGTGAATTTTTGAAGCCTGCTGTGAAGGTGCTTATGGAGGATAATTGTGTAGAGCCTTGACAGAAACTCAACTGTTATGTCATCTGATATATAGCTCATGGATTTATAAATAACCATAAAGTTAGGAATTGCATTGATCCTTAATCCAATTGTCACCTTCATGGGGTAGTCATCATCTGAATGGTCACATCTGCAGGGATATGAATCATCACTACAGCTCCAACAGAACATTTGGGTAAATGCTAAGCACTAGAATATATATCACGTAATATATCATCTCTGCCATATACAAGCCCTATGCTCACATCCTCTGTGATATTTGCTCCATTCTACCAACATCTGCCATGTTATGTATACATTGACCCATGATAGGTAATTAGTAATGTCAGCTTCCCAGCACCTTCCATTTTCTATGGCTAACAACAAGTGCAGTGCAACTGTTTGCAACTCATTGACAAAGAACACATTTTGAGTAAAGCTGTTTTGTGATAGATGTGGTTGTGATTAATGTTGCAACCCTTTTTTGGTTTTGAACACTTAAGTTGCAAATTATGGTAAAGACTGATCTAAGGTAACCTAACCCAGCCAAATCAAACAGACCGAATCACACCCAGTTCATTCTTAGGTTGGTGTAATTTACTTTGTTTAATTTTGGAATGCATGTAATTGGCATGGTCATAAGCACCATGTCCAACACTACTTCTAGAAGATGATTGACATATGACCATGCCTGAACCTCGCCAAGTGTTACACAGCCAAGCTTACTTTGCTTACCAAGCCTACCTAGCCTTTGACTTGTGGCAACCTTCGTCCTGTGCATTCTATTTCATATTTTGTTTGTATGATGTGATGTTAGCTTATTGTGATTTTACCCCATTATTGTTTGCATTTACAATAATAATCATATCCTATCTTTATATCATACAGTTTGTACCCTGTATAACATGCAATTTCCATGCATCCGTTCACTTATATTGTGTTGTGATGACTCTGTTGCCATCCGACTCTTTACCCATCACCATGCAATTTCATCTTTGACCCCAGGTCCCACTCAACCCGGTCAACAGTAATGCGCAATGGCACAGATGGTCGTCAAATGCTTCAGATTTTCGCAGTACAAAATTTTCACTTTGCGTCACACCGTTTTTATTTTTTTACCTGATTTTGTCATGGCTGAGGGTTGGAGAGGGAATTCATCTCTGCACCCTTTCAGTAAGGAGTGTTGGCAATATGTCATCATGGCAAAGGTCACCCGTGAATGATAAACATGAGCTAGCTTTGCTTGTGTATCTAAAATGCTATGAGTGGGAGCTCTGGCTTTTGTCCAGATAATTTTATGTCAGAAATGTTAAAACATTATTAGTCTGCCTTAGTTCTGCCAATTTTTTTGCAATAGTTTGATCTCAGAACACAATTTTGGGGGAAATATGGGTTTGATTGTTTTTAGATTGAGTAGGGGCTCTCCAGAATATTTTGTATTCAAGCTTCATGTAGTCCATTTTCATATTTCAGTGATAAGGAACCAATGAATGTTGGGGGGCCAAAAAGAATGATGTTAGTTGATAGAGTGGCAACAATTACATATTTATGCCAAAGTACTAGCTCAGAAAGCTGGTCATCCATGTGAGGTAGATAGCTCATAGGTCTCATAGGTGTCTCTGTTAGCTTTACATTGTCATTCATGTTGTGGAAAAAGGAAACTGAGAAGGGAACCTAAAAATGAGTAAGTTCACAGCTGGTTACTAATTATGCATGATCATATACCACTGGGCTTCTCATGCACACCTACACTTCATGCATTGATAACCTTCCATTTTGCACTTCAGTGCTTCTACTTAAGAAAGCTGAAGATGTTGTGGCATGCTTATCAAGTACCCAGGCATTATTTGAGGATTGTTGGAGACATTTTCATGTTGTGTCAGTGCATTAAAGTGAAGGCATTGGGTCCCCCTATGAGCACTGAAATGGAGCATCTGTCACAGTTTGTGGCTGACCAGCCATAGCCCTCACCACACCACTCTGTGCCACAGTCAGACTGGGCCATGATGTGCCACAGTTGTGTAACTTGGCCTGCCGCCCCATGTCCAGGTGGTGGGTGCGTACGGACAGGAAGCCCAGACCCACTTGCTGCGCCGCCTGTGTTCGCACGTGCCGCTGGACGGTGCCGGCCGCGCCTCCGCCAAGGAGAATCCGCAGCTGCAGCTGCTGCAGCGCCAGTGTGCCGGCCTCGTCACCCGGCCCAACTTCGTCCACGTGCTGTGTCAGCTGGCCGACCACCCTGCTGTGCGCCAGAAGGTGGGTGGCGCACCTGGTGTTTGTTGTATTTGGCTGCTTTGGGGGTGAGTGTAGAAGGAACAGGGCATATGCTGGTGCTTGCTTACTGGCTGGTAGGTGGAAGTGAGACTTAACCTGTCAGGTGAGTTGTGCAGCTGGATGTGTCATTTATCAGGCTGTTGAGTGTTTCAGGCTCAAGCCCGGTGTTGCCGTTTGGTTCGCAGAACCCGTCTGACACGCTTCTGCAGGAGCTCTGCCGGGCGCTGAAGCTCGGGAAGCCGGAGGAGGTCGCGTTCTCCATCGCGCTCCTTCACTCCCGGAACTCGGACACCGTCCGGCACGCCGAGCAGTTTATCCAGCAGAAGCTTCCCGATCTCATCAAGGACTACATTGACTCAGGTAATGTTATTGGCAAAATTTGTCCGGTATTTATTTGGCGTATTCACTAGAGTGATCCTTTTTGATTATGTTCTTAGCTAGTTGTCTTCAATGAGCCCACATTTTCAAGCTTTCATAACAGTCATGTTTTCTCCGTAAACTTAACAAGCTAGTCCCAGTCTAGACAGCATTATCCCAACAGGACAAGCCGTCCTACCCGACTGTTGTAGCAGTACTGAGCACGTTAGTCCCGCGTCTAGCGGCGATCGCTGTAGCAACTGATTTGTGTGTAGCATTGAGATGGCCGCCTGCCTATCGACGCTTCCAGCGGTGCTGCCAACTCCCAGTCTAATCACACGACCAACCGCGCTCGTAAATTAACGTCATACCAGTGAGGGGGACCCTGCCACTGTCCAACGCCTGCCAGCAGAGCACGTGCACCGTCAGCTGACTGACGTGTGCCATCAGCTGACCACAGCCTGTATGCCATCAGCTGACTCGACTGGCGCGTCGGACCAGGACGGCCTGCAGGAGTCGTCGCCGGAGGTGCTGCATCAACTTATCTCCTGGCTCCTATTCGCGCCGCCCGATCAGCTCGATAAGGTGACACCGGGCACTCGATCACCCCGGCCGGCTGACCGGGGCCGCGGGCGATATTGATCGCAGCCGGCACCCGTGCAGCGGGGGGGGGGGGGGGGGGGGGGGCCGGGGAGATGAACGCTGCGCTCGGCGACAGATAACGCGGGCGCCTGTACTCTTGCTGACTCGCGAAAAGTTAAGGTGGCGTGAGCGGTGTTGTGAGAGGCGAGAGGCGGCGTTCTGTTCAGTCATGGTTATCAGTGGACGCGTCACCGTTTGGAGTGACTGTAAACGTTGTCGTGGTGGTCAGTTGCTCACTGCATGCAGGTGCGAGTTCTGTATTGCTGGGCACTCCCCAGTACAGTCGATTTACGATCGTGTTTCACGTCGAATAACGCACGTCAGAATGGCCGGCGCTCGTCCCTCCGGCTCTCGCCATGGTCCCGCCGCCTGTGACCGTGATCGTCACTGTGACCGAGCCGTGGCCATGGCCGGAACCGAGCTCGTGGCCGTAACAGTGTCTGACTGTGCCCGTAGCAGTGACCGTAGCAGTGATCGTGGAAGGCAGTCGTGACAAACGAGTGTGAAGGTGACGTAGGCGATGGCGATGACGATGACCGCGGCTGTAACCGCGACCGTGACCTTGACCGTAACCGTAACCGTAACCGTGCCCGTGACCCAGACCGTGATCGTCATATAGCCTATTGCTGTAAGCGGTATGCGTGTTACGGTCAGCAGTGACCGTAACAGTGACCATGGAAGACAACCGTGACAAACGAATGCGATGGTGACGGTGACGGTAATGATGACGTTGACGGTGACTGAAACCGCGACCGTGATCGTGATCATCATATGGCCCATGACTGTGAGCGGTATGCGTCGCGCGGGCAGGCGGCGGACTCGCAGGAGAGCTTTCTGGAGGCGATCCGGCAAGACTTCCCGCGTGACCGCGTGCCTGTCGTGCTCGCGCCGCTCATCTTCGCCGAGAGTACCGACATTCCTGTCGACAAGATCCGCAGCCCGGGCAACATGGCCTCCAACCTGGTCAGTGGTGGCGCGCGCCCGGCCCGCTCGCGCCCGCGTGCGCGCTCTGGTGACCATACGTGCTGGTTGTCAGTCGGTGGTCGGCTTACGTATCTTTCGTTGCATGCTTGTGTAAATACAGGCGTCGATAATGCTAATCTGGTCATCCATAGGAGCAATACCTTACGCTCCATTTTTATTATATTTTTTTAAAGATTTGATCCGAACCCTTTGAATGGATGGATTTCCGGGATCAGGGCTCACGCTAAGCAGTGCTTGTTGTGTGAGCCCTGACCCCTACAATCCGATCGCGCAATTCCATGTCAACAGCAGAATTCGGTGGCGAAAGGTAAACGTACCGCAATGCTCGGCGCGGTCCGTCCTGCCCTCTGACGTCAACTGACCTTTAGCGCAACCGCTGCCACCGGCCGCAGGCCGTACCTGTCAAGGGCAAATAGCGGGCGCCCTAAAGCGACTCGAACCCACCCCGCCACGGGTGGGTGCATCGGAAGGCAGGCGTTCTAACCAACTGAGCCACCGGGACGGACCGTTGTTCTGATGAACTATTCCAAAAACGCAAAAAAGATATTTTTGCATGTGGGTGTCAGGGTTGTTTGGTTTATATGCCGACTCGTATAGCTGTTCGTTACTACTTAGGCCGTGGTTGGCGGTGAGCGCCGCCGTTGTGTGACGTTGCTTTGCCAACGCCCACACCTGCCTAGCCGCCCGTTGGTGAACAGTGTGCGATCCGCCGCGTATGAGACGCCCCCGCTGCATGGCATGTCTCCACCGACCGGTCCCTCTCTCCACACAGCTGGACGGCTCGCTGGCCGACTTCGTGCTGGAGGTGGGCTACAACCTGTGCGCGTCGGTGGAGGAGTGCCGCCGCCACCTGGTGAACCACGGCGCCTCGGCGCTGACGGCGCCGGCGGTGGCGCGCTGCCTGGGCGCCATGGTGCGCACCTACACCGGCCTGGCCGACCAGGTGCCCATCCAGAGCCTGCAGCCGGCCGCCTCCATCTGGGCGGCCGACAAGCCCAAGGACGGCCCGCAGACGTGGAACATCGACGTGTTCGTACGCACCGTCTACGAGCTGGTGAGGAAGCGGGCTTGGAATGGGGGAGGGAGGGGGGGCTGACCGGAAGATGGCTTGCGGGTAGCCGGCGAGCTTTTAAGCCATCAGCGACGTGGAAAGACATTGGGGAGTCAGTAGTGAGGCGTAATGTGTGCAAGTCGTGAGCGAGGCGGTGTTACACAGAGGCAAACAGTGGGCTGTTCGCAGTGAGTCGATAGGCAGGGAGGAGGTAACGTGCGGAAAGCTGGGACTCGGGGAGTAATGTCGTGAGACTTTTAGGTTGTTGCCGGTTGACTGACACACTAAGGGATATAGCTGGACGTTCTCTTTCTCGTCCGCTCCTGACCGTGTTTTCCTGACCGGCAGGCGCCGTCGATCCAGTGGAAGGAGGTGGTGTACCACCTGGACCACCCGGGCTTCCAGCTGAAGGACCGCACCGCCTTCTGCCTGCTGACCCAGGCGCTGAGGCTCGGTCTCCAGCTGCAGGGGGTTCGCGCCGACGCCTTCCCCGTGGAGGTGCTCTACCGGGTCTGGAAGAACGCGGACAGCCAGGTGAGACGCGTGCCGGCGCCGGCCGCGGGGCGCGCGAGCAGGCTGGTGGAGAATGGCGGGATCAGTACCGCCAACTGGTTTTCTTTTTCGCGATCTCGTTTGCTTTGATGCATAGTACCCTGGCGCAGCGTGGTGGGGTGACAGGGGTTGGGGCCTCACGTGACGTAGTGTCACGATTACCTTGCGGACGTCGATCGTCCTCGTCGACGAACTTATTTGTCATGTTATATGGCGCGCGCAGCAGCACACGGGCGTTACGTCCGGTGCTGTCGGTGGCGCGCGGTCGGTGCGGCGCGTCGACAGAGCGTCTCCGACTCGTGCCCTGTGTGACGCCCGGCATTCCTGCCGCCAGCTGTCGTATATCAAGCAGATCCTCAAGTGCTGGGACGTGTTCTGTCTGGCCGACTACCAGTGCCACATGGTGGACACGTCGCAGCTGAAGATGCCGCCGGAGAAAGAGAGCCGCGAGGTCAACACGTGGTGAGTGGCGCCCGTCCTCGGCCGTGTGGCGGCGCGCGGCGCCCGGCTGGGCCGCCACTGGCACGTGTGAGGCCGAGTGTAGGTGCGCTGTGTGTGACAGGCTACGACCTGTCACGTTCGCTGCAGACAGGCTCGCGTGATGCGCTTTTCTGGGGAGGTCTGAGACTGGCAGGTGACTGGGTGAGATGGTGGTTTGATGTGCCCACGTGTTATCCTGGGTTTGCCCCACAGTCCTGGGCGTGGCTGCTGTGCCGCGCGTTTCTGCTCAACTGCGCTTTCTACGGCAATGTTGTGCTGCCACGTTTGCTCGTCCACTTGAGCGGAGTTGGCTCTCTGCTCCTTCCCTCCATTCGGGTGGCCGCGCGTGACACGCTCCGTTCAGCCGCATCTGGATGGCCTGCCGCGCGGCGGTGTGCTCGTTCTGACGGCCGTCCGGCTGCCGGGCAGGCGGTGCACGGAGCTGATGCAGCTGTTGCTGCACCTGGCCGAGAGTGGGCACTCGTGCGCCGTCCAGGAGCTGCTCAACTTCCCGCTGCAGAGCTGTCCCGACATCCTGTCGCTGAACCTGCTGGCCACCGGCAGCACGTCTCACCTCGCCCAGGAGCTGCTCTCCACGCTGTTCCCCATCTTCCTCAGTGAGTGGCGGCGGGCCCGGGCCGGGACGGTGGCCAGGCCAGCCGCCCGTCGCCGTCCCGGCCCGGGTGTAACGCTCGCCACTGGGGTGTTGTGCGACCGTTGCTGTTGATGGCGGTGCAATGTAACTGTATTTATGGTAGACGGATTATAGCGTTGTCATGGAATGAAGTGATGCGTGGATCTTGGTGACTTGCGAGAGCATTCTGCCCTGACGGATTTTCAGTGACATGGGACTGTTTTGCTCGTGTTTTTTTTGCCATCGGGTCCGAAAGTCATCGCTTCCTCTCGCGTAAGCCAACCACCGGATCTGAAACGCGTCACTCTCGCGATTCTCTGCGTCTCTGCTTCGTCTGGCACCTGGGTTGGCCGTGTGAGTGCCGGTCGGCCGCCCCGGTCGGCCGTCCCGCCTCCCTGCCGTTCGGAGGAGCCCGACTGACCGACGCCGCCGTGGCCGGCAGCCGGCCACCACCCCAACAGCGGGGCGGTGCTGCACCAGGCCTGGCATTCTCCGCAGAACGGCCCCGCCGTGCAGGCCATGCTCGCGCACACCATGGCAGAGTGGTACCGCCAGGGCGAGGGCGACCAGGCGCGCCTCTCGCGCGTCCTCGACGTGGCCCAGGACCTCAAGGTGTGCGGGGTCAAGCGGAGGGTGGGGTTGGGGGGATGGGGGGGGGATGGGGCACCGGTGCTGGGGGTGAAAGGCAGCAGGGGAGGCGTGGCGGTGGAACGTGGCGGTGGAGTTGGCTCGTGTTTTGTGAGTTATAATAAAACTAAGCGTTCTTCAGTGGGTTGGTTGACCTGAGCTGGGTCTCGTATTCCTCTTTTGAAGTTTGCTATCAGATGCAGCGAGAATGTGGCCGTCTGTACCGGTGTCGAGCTTCGTCATCCACAGCCGTCGCAAGACGTCTTGGTGCCCCCCACCACCAGGGCGTCTGCCTGGCTCAGCTGACCGCCCCGTCTCGCCGCCGGCAGGCCCTGTCGTACCTGCTGAACCACCAGGCGCTGCCGTTCGTCATCGATCTGGCTTGCCTCGCCTCCCGCCGCGAGTACCTCAAGCTGGACAAGTGGGTGTCGGACAAGGCCATGGAGCACGGCGAGCCGTTCATCACCGCCTGCGTCAAGTTCCTGCAGGTCAGACCCTACCCGTCTGCCAACGGGGATCAGAATTGGCAGGAGACGGCGGCGGAGCCGAGTGACGAGCCAGTGCGAAACACACGGCGTTATTGTGCACGTGGCGTCGGTGCACTCGGTGTACAGTATAGGTGTAATGCCGCCCCGCCGTAATTCTGCTGTAGCTATGAGTCATCTTTAACCTGCATGACACAAGGGCCGTGCAGGTAGAAATGGTTCGGAACCGTACTCCCAATATCAGCCCGGACTCTGTTACCAGTGGCATCCGTGGCCGACCTTCAGTGGCCGGCCTGGGGCAGGCCTGTCTCCGTCGGTGCGCCCCACTCACGCCCCCCCCCCCCCCCTGCCGCCCGCAGCGTCGCGTGCCGCAGCTGTCAGCCGGCGCCGCCAAGGACTCCGATCCGCCGGCGAAGGCGACGCTGCCGGCCGACATGGCGGTGACGATGCTGAGCGTGCTGCACCAGCGGGCGGCGGGCGTGGGTCCGGAGCTCAGCGACGCGCTGCTGGCCATGGTGGGCGCCGCCGGACAGCTGCTGCTGGGACGGCAGCCGCCAGCCGCCGCCGCCGCC